GACTGGATGTGACACTTAGTGCCATGGTCTGGTAACCACGGTAGGGTTGGACTTGATGATCTTGGAAGTCTTTTCCAACCTGGTTGATTCTGTGATTCTATGTTTCTATGATTGACTATAATACTTCTCTGGTGTTTGTCCACCTGTAATAAATAACTTTTAGCTGTCTTTTTTGTCCTAAAATAATCTCTTGTGTTACTGTCTGGTTTGCTTTTGGTGAAGGATGGAGTGAGGAGATACCACGGAGCGATTGCCCGAAGGAGGATGCACCTGACCAGGTAGATTTGGAGTTGCAAGAGGAACTTGATGCTGAAAACTGAGTTTTATAACATATCCCAAAAAAACCCTCATATTTGCTTGTGTATTCAAAGTCTCTCTAAAATATGTGACTGTTATATGACCTAAATTTCCAAACAAGCCAGTTGCACTGGAATTGCTTAGAGGTTACTTGTCTCAAAATTACGTTGCTCTAGAGGTTGTTTTGTTCCTTCATCTTTTCTTGGGAAGGAAAATGAGTGATTGCAAATCTGTCTTGCCACCAGAATTGGTGTATTACCAATATTTGTATTGGTGTAAATACGATGATGATAATGATCTATTACACTACCACTGCCTGTATTTAGAAACCAGTTAAGTCTATAGAAGTGATTGTTTCTAGCATATATAGAAGTGAACAGAACCAATTCATGCTCTTGTTTTCCTTTCCAATTATGCTCCAGAAAATGCATGTCTGCCAAAGGGGACAAACCTGAATCCTGGGAGAGTAGCAACCAGGTAACCTGTAGGTGCATAAAAAGGTGTAATTGTGTCTTTTTTTGGTGTGTAAAATACCTTTCCAAGCGATAGCAGCTCCCCAGGCAGATTCTCTGTACTGGAGTGTTATGATGGTCATGAGGTGTTGAAAAATGTGTAACACAGTGAAGTTTTCTTCTAAAAAAAAGGAGAGTAGATGCTTATTATTGATATAAGAGTAAGGCTGATATAAAAGGTGAAGGAATGCCTTTAAGAGAGATGCATTTAACATGTGGTCCCTCAAGCAGCTGAGCTGGGAGATCTGCAGGTTTATATCTTAGTGTTAAAAAGGCTGCAGAGGAATTAGTTTGGAGTTAGTTTTGGGGCCTTTTTTCCCCCTTGATCCAGCACTGCATTTGTCCTAAATTGCTGTGAGGAAACCGTTTAGTAAGTGCTATAAGTGGGAGGAGAGATACCAACAGAGAGATGAAGAGTGGAACAGCAAAAACTTTACTTCTGTGGGAAAGAGAGGAGAAATCTTGTGTTTGTTCCTAGATACTTTGCACTGACTGACATGTTTATGGCTGTACCTTTGTCATGAACGAGACAGTGATGAACCTGAATTTAGGTGGATTTATAGCCACCCTAAATGTTGTTTCAGTGTCCAGTTTTTTGTGGCTGAATTTTCCTTGACTTTAGGATCTCAGAGCATCACAGAAACTTTACTGGGTCTCTTTCCATCACATGAAGAAATAAACAGTGGAGAATTAAAATGCAGGAAGTGCTTTGCTGTTAACAGAGACATTTCCATCCTTTGAAGCAGCATTTTATTTCCCTGCAAAGCATAATATGTACACAATGATCTAAGATTTGTTTATTATTTAATTAAAACCCTGTTATTAAAGACTCTAAGGTTTAATTCTCTTTATACAGTGGCTAAATGAGAAGACCATCCACTGTAGCCAAGCATAAAGAGTGGATCTATTTGCACTTCCCCTGCTCTGAGCCTGCTGTGCAAAACAGTTGCCAAGAGGGACTACAGCTTAATAGCAAAGAAGAGGTTAATTTTCTGGTGGATTCTAATTACTTAGGAGGAACATGCACAAAGCCATTAATATAGTGGTCTGAGTGGTTACCTGTATTATCTCCCTGGTGATCATAGTTTTCCTGTATTGCTTTATAATTTGATGAGCTGAAATTATTTTGTTGTTTAATTAAGGTAGTTTTGCCAACAGCCATGTGAGCACATAATCCAGCTATTGGAAATGTTAAATTCAGAAACTACTGGGCTATGTTTTCTCTTACAAGGAAAATAAACACTTGTTTGCAGATGAGGGGTAATGGTAGGAGGAAAAGAGCAAAAAAAAAAAAGAGCATCTAATTTCTGCAGTGCTTAGTGAAATGTGCTTTTACCCTTTGTTTTCAGAAATGTGTCTTACATTTCAGGCATACCTGAGTTACAGCAATGTGGCTGCACTGACACACCTGGCAGCAAAACCAGGGTGGGAAATAACCAAGACACTGGATGATGTAAGTGTATCATTATTTGACAGTGGATGAGAAGCTCCCCATGAGTTGCAGTGTGAACTCAGCCCAGAAAGCCATTCCAGTCCTGTGCTGCAGCCACAGGAGTGTAGACAGCAGGTCAAAAGAGGTGGTTCTTCCCCTCTACTCTGCTCTTGTGAGACCCACCTGGAATATTGCACACAGTTCTGGTGTCCTCAGCATAAGAAGGACATGGAACTGTTGGAGCGAGGTTTTAAGCACTAAATGTTTCAGGTCTTCTGGACCTTCCCCAATGAAGACAGGCTAAGGGAGTTGGGGCTGATCAGCCTGGAGAAGACTATGTGGAGACCTCAGAGCAACTTTTCCATATCTGAAGGGCCTACAAGGAGCCAGAGAGGCACTCTGTGTTAGGAGTTGCAGTGATAGGACAAGGGCTAATAGGTACAAAATTAAGGAGGGAACGTCTAGGTTAGGTATTAGAAAAACGTTTTTCCCTGTGA